CCTGGCCCGACGGCTGCCCGAGGCCGCCACTAACGGGGCCCACATGAAGGGTCGGACCGACTCAGCCCGGCCCGACAGCAGCCCAATGGTCCGGCCCGACGACAGCCCGATGGCCGCTCCCGACGGCAGCCCGATGGCCTGGCCCGACAGCAGCCCGATGGCCCGGCCCGACAGCAGCCCGATGGCCCGGCCCGACAGCAGCCCGATGGCCCGGCCCGACAGCAGCCCGATGGCCCGGCCCGACAGCAGCCCGATGGCCCGGCCCGACGACAGCCCGATGGCCCGGCCCGACAGCAGCCCGATGGCCCGGCCCGACAGCAGCCCGATGGCCCGGCCCGACAGCAGCCCGATGGCCCGGCCCGACAGCAGCCCGATGGCCCGGCCCGACAGCAGCCCGATGGCCCGGCCCGACGGTAGCCCGATAGCGGCCGCTACTGGATGGAGCCATCTGCGATACCCGTCTGATGGATCTACTGCTGTCCCCGCGGGCATTACGGCCATCAATTTAATTAAGGGGATAGAGCTGAGGGCATTGATCCGATGATCCCATACGGCCGGTAGGTAAGCCTGGCACTTGTTAGTAACCTTGGGCATGCAGGCTCGACTGGAATCGGAGTTCACGGTATCAGGCCTGCGTTCACCGGGCTTTCACTGCGCTGGTCAGGCATAATGAACTCAGTTGAAGGAGTCATCACCGTCCGGCAATGTGCCGCAGTTCAGCGATCCTCCCTAAGGATGAAATGGCCCGTGGCACACCCATTCTACGCCCACAGCGTGATGCGACCGCGAGCATGGTGGCTGCGACCCTGGATGCGGTCAGTCAGCTGGAAGCTGTCCCGCGCTCTGGCACTGCGATTGGTCCGGCTGTCAGTGCCGGACCAATGTCTACCGGTGTTAGGCGGCTTGAAGTGATGTCACAGCTGTGTCGTTACTAAAACAGTTACCAGTGACGAACGTTATCCATAAGAAACCTCAGTCAACGAGCAAACGAGCGTTTTCACATCCTGAACGGAAAGCTCACGGAAAGCCTTGTCCCAGGTACAAACTCTGCCAGAACGAGAATCCAGTTGTTTTGAAAGCTTCAGCGACGGGCCGGACTGAAGTAAACTGTGAGCCTCCGAGCAAACACAGCCGCCGGAGGTGCCACGCGCGGACCTGATTCGACTGGGGACGCGCAGCCAAGTGTTGTCCGTCAGGACCGGCCGACCAGAGCTGCGGTGAGCACGGCATTGAGCGGCGTAAGACTCAGCGGGGACGGAATATGTTATCACTGCATCAGCGTTCGGACCTGGTCAATGTAGGAGGAGCCGAGCGGCAGATGTTTCTCAACGCCGCTTAGGTGAGACAAATTCGCCCATCGGGAATCCAATCGGGGATTCACTAACGCCTCTTTTGTGAGGCAAATTAACCCGCGCCCAGCCGGGGGTTTGAGACAACCGGGAAGTTAACTTCCCCCTGGGATCTCCAACTTCCAGACGCCGTATAAATCAGCGATCAGCGGTTAAGACTGCAGGGAGTCAATTCCGACCATTTCTAATCCCTTACACGGGTCAGGTCAGATAAGCCATTGCTCATAATTGGTTTACGTGATGCGGTACTTTTCTTCACAAAACAGTTCTGACGGATTTTCTTTTATGAGGTGCAGCTGTGAGAAAAAACATTCTAGACACCGAAATACTATTTTTGCAACAGCCTATAGTTTATCTGGGGTCAGCCTAGGTAAAATTGATATGCAATCCAACAGACAAATCTTCAGCGCTAATCGGGTCTACATCACCAGTACAATGTTTTTCTATGATTAAAAATCGTGTATTGCACATCTACAAGCACTGAAGATCGCATAGCTGTTGCCTTTAAAATACATAGCCACTTAGACGCTTGAAAATGCATTTATAAAGCTGAGAACAGGCACGTTGGTGCATGTGTGTTTATGCCTTTCCGCTAATGGCAACATAGACATAAATCTTGGATGACCTCATATGACCTTGCATGTATTCATGCTACTTACTGTGGCCTTATTACGCACTAGAATGCTATCATAATATGCGTTCAGTGAATTATCTGAATTTTTCTGAATGTTTTGACCTCAGCGTATGTTTTGTAGAATATGCAAATTGAGATATGTCATGGCCTGGGCCAAGGTCATGTATCCTGTGATCATGTTTGTGATTGCCCTGAGACTTTGCATGTAAGTCAGTACTCTTTTCATCATATACATATATCAAAACTATGCAAAAATACGTACACATTTCCATTATTTATAAAAAATGATGGGCATTGACCCGAATTCAGATCACTGACCTCGCAGATTGTAAAAAAAATGAAAGATAAAAACTGCCGATACTATGATGTTCTTTTACTATCATAAGTTTGAATAATGTCAAATGACCCCTAAAAAGTAGTGTGTGGTCAAAGTTTGTTTACCTTTGATCTTTTTTATCTAACATAAGTCACTGATCTTGGGAGATTAATTTTCACAAAGGACACAACAATGATAGATGAAAAGGTACTGAATTTTTCGCGCCGCTGGGAGCGTTCGTATTTCACCTGTGCTTGGAAAACCGTAGGCAGGGAAGTCAACCTCCCGCTGCCCGGCCGGGAGCGAGTTAAGCTGGATGAACGTCCGCTGTAAAATGATCACTGTTTTGGCGTGCTTTGCTCTAGTTTGAATACGGTAATGTACGCACCTGACTACGGAGTATGAATGCATTCATGAAAGCACTAAGAAAAGAAACACGGGATACAAAGACATGGTATGTATACATGTATATATATATATATATACATATATAAATACATATATTATGTCATTTTGCTACGAACCGTGATCGCGGTAGGACAAAGCAAGTTAATGGCACAAGAAAAAAACATTATCTTCAATTTCACATCTTCAAATCATTAGCTTTCAATTTGCGTCACGTCAAAGCGACTACATCTCTTCCTTAGTCGGCAGCATGGCCGCATTGAACATTTAAATGCATTTTGCAGCCAATTCGAAATGACTACAATGCAACCTTCCGATGAGATTCTGTGACGCGCGGATTCTGCGAAAGAACCACGCTTCACAGGCTCACTGCTGAAGACATGGTGACGGCGTTACCACCGAAAGCTCATGGGCGTCGTCCATGCTTTGTTGAGGCTGACCTAAGAGGCTTGGCGTTAGCTATTCATCCGAAAGAGCAGTGATGGTTATCGCTGTTTCCATCACGCTCACGCCGGTTTACGCCTTACTGGCGGCGTGATCTAGGGCCGGGGGTTCTTCCCAGGCATCTCGTATTTCTGTCGCGCTGAACTTAAGTCGGTAAAACAACTGCTTCTGCTCTGCTATCGTAACATGCCGCCGTGACCGTTCCTGAGCGGAGCCATTCGAACGTGTCGCCAGCGTCGCCGCTCGAGGTCGTCCCATCACGCACGCATCGTCATCTGGAGCCCTTTCGGCATGCCAGCCGCCTGCTATGAATGTAATCTTCATCTGGCCGGCCGTTTTGCCGCCTGGGTGGCGTATGACGAGCCAACGGGCGCGCCTGAACGATCCTGCTCGCGACCGGATCCCGGCCACTCCGTCGCTCAGACACTCACCGGCTCTGGCACTCAGACACTCGCTGGCTCTGTTACTCAGACACTCACTGGTTTCGTCACACGACCGCTGTTTCTGTCACTTGGACACCCACTAGTGTCGTGGCCCCGGCAATTACAGCATCCATCACGAGACACCCATCAGCCCCATCTCTCACAGACTACCCCTGTCATGGAGGCACCCAATGCCGCCGTTTCTCAGAGAACCGCTTCTTACGTCACTCAGACACGCATCGCCTTCGTCATGCAGCCACCCACCGCCTTCGTCACCAGGCACACGATTGCTCCGTGACATGGGTGCTGATCGCCAGTCAGACACTCACTGCCCCTGTCAGCTAGACACTCACTTTCCTGTCGACCAGATGCTCACTCCCCTGTCAACCAGGCACTCACTCCCCTGTCGACCAGACATTCACTCCCCTGTCAACCAGATGCTCACTCCCCTGTCAACCAGACACCCACTCACCCTATCAAACAGACACACACTCCGCTGTCGACCAGACACTTACCCCCCTGTCAACCAGACACCCACCCACCTTGTCAACCAGACACTCACGGGATGCGCCACCCACACATGGCCCGGCTGTGAGCTAAGCTGGCGGTCACCTGATGACGGCGATATGTGTCCACTCATCGGGTGGAAGGGCCGTGAATATATCCGCAGCCCTCCCGCGGCGGGCTCCATGACGGCGGTACTTCTCACGAGGCCCTCAATAGCTCCTTATGCTGAGCTACGTCTTATACTGCGCCGTTGAGCCCTGCGGCCGGCTTTAGCATGACGTGTCTACCGACGGGCTCCGCCGGCAGCTTGTAAAGGATGGCCTCGGCAGTGGTCAGAGGGCAAGGCCGGGTCATGACCCCGTTGCCCTCCGCCGGTGATATTCACCGTCCACCGGGCGGGAGAGCCCGTGCACGTTCTAAACCACCAAGCGCCTGGACGGTACGTTGCTATCGAATCGAATCCGGCCGGGGAGATGAAGGGGCATGCTCAAGAGCGTGTCTTCTGTCACCGAAGTGCCTCTTTAATCTTCTTTCCGGCCCATCTGAAGCGCCCTGGGCGGCCCAGTGCGCCGTCGTAAAATCTACCGCTGAACGTGTGTGAAGAACGGCCGTGCAAAAAATGAAATGGATTTGCCTCGAAAATAGATCCACAATGCTTTATCACGTTTTTTTACCATTGCGCTGGTTTCTTTTCTCGACACTTGTTTCGCCAGGTAAAACACGGATACGAACGGATATTCACTAGCATAGTACCAGGGTAACGCATTAATTACACGAAACCAGAATGTACCTTTCCAAACACAGGACGATGCAGCCTGCGATGGCCAAGTCATCCTCACCTCTGTCCTCACCGCTCGCACCTCTGTGCTAACTTCACTGAGCCCGGCCATGTCCGCCAGCTCGCCACGCGCGAGAATACTCACCGACGACGGTCAGATTAACCCGGGCGTTGAAGGTCGGCGAGGTGCGGAAGTCGGCACGGCACCGGTACACGCCCTGGTCGCCCTCCTCCACGTGCTTGATGCGCAGCAGAGGCGCCTGCGGCCGCGGATCGAACTCGGAACGCTGACCCAGCGAGTCCTCGTTGGCCCAGTGGGTGCCGCGCGTCGATTTGCGGCCGCGCGTGTCGTAGCTGCAAACGGCGGAGACCACGATCGTTGGTGTCATTGGGTCTTGGATCGTTGTAACCAGTGTCAGAGGGTCTCGGGTCATTGTCGCCCGTGTCATCGGGTCTAGCGTCGTTCTCACCATTGTTCGCATTCGGGCACCACGACATTGTTTGCAGAGGTTCGCAAGGGTCATTATATTGATTATCGATGCATCTGATGGCAGCAACCACGGCAGTGTGGAGCCAACTGCATACGAATCACTCATGGTAGCTGTAGCGGCAACGCAAGCCATCTGTGTGTATCGCACTGCAACGGAGACAAACGGGGGCGGCCTCACCCCACCCCCAATCTGAAGAAATCTAGCGTCATCGTTAGAGTGGTCGCAACCGGCTGAAACAGTTTCTGTCAAAGCTTGTTTTTACCGGTTAAAGCCGGCTGGCAAATAAGCAAAATGACAGCAGAAGCTTGCATAAACTGAAAAAACGCAGGAAGAGCAAACCATGTGGTAATTCATTGTGGCCATTGTAGCAGTTGGAGTACAATCATGGCTTAATTATAACATTGTTTCTGTTAGTACGGCCGGATACTAGCCACTTTCACAAAGCAATTGTGAACTGAAAATATTTAAATATGTGACGTTTTAAAACGTTTCTGTACATTGTTAGCACTTCGCAAAGCAAATGATTGTTTTTTTACAATTGCATTGGCATTTAATATCTAAAAAACGATATCAAACTTCTAACAAACTTATTGTACGAAACGAGGCTCTTTGCAAACATTTGTTTTTTCTACCCATGCTCTATTTCAGCCCATTCTGAGATAATACCAAACCTGACACCGGTGTGGAACGGTCAGTGGCTATGGATACTGGTCGCACCATGATTGCTTGTATCAATGTCGCGTGGTGTAGAGAACGGGGATTTGAAGATCATTTAATTCAAGAATTCATTGTGGACCGTGCTTCAGTCTACAAGCCTTGTAAGTACCGTATACCTATTAAAAAGAACGCAACCAAGATATAGGTACCTGTTTTGTCACATATTGGTCTGACATTTCACCAAATCCTTTTGAAAAGTCTCGTAAAGTTTTGGTAGATACAATCAGGAACAAACTGCCCTACAAGCACGATGCTGCTTTAAATAACGAAGCGCAACGTTATCAACTTACACGTCTTGACGAGCAAACAAACATGTTTTCAATCCCGTCAATGCACTTCTAGCAGAAAATCGCCAGTAAAAGTTGTAAAGTAAGAAAGCAAACACTGAAAACTTTTGGAACATTTCTGAAAACCTTTACATCGCGGTGGTTTGAATAGCGGCTAATATTAGGCCTTTCCAGATATTTTCAAGCAGCTGTACGGGGCAGCTGACTGCTCGACTGGACTCGGCATGCCAATTCTTAAAGCTCGGGAAAACTGCCAGCTAGACAATTCATGAGCTGCTACGTCTTAGCAGGTTTACATGGCAGATAGCCATCCATCCTGATCATGCCTCCGAATTCAGATTTTGAGACTTTTTACATTATGTAGTATATTACATATTATATATATATATATATATATATATATATATATATATATATATATATCTAATAGTATACATAGCAATTTGCGAGAACACCCAAACTGTCACACAATCCGAACAACTCAAGCCTCTGTCAGATGTAATAAGACCACAACTTGGTTGAGCAGGAAAGTATTCTGCTCCACTTCAGACAGAAATGTTAATCTGTCCCTGGTCATCGGCACTCCAGGGAAGAGCGTAATAGTCAGGGCTACATGTTGTACACTTTCATTACAGGCATATGTGATACCATGCGGGTCATTTTGATGCTATGCACTCTAAACGGTGCAGGTAATCCGTGGACAACATGACAGTAAAGCTAAGCTAGTGCCAACCCGAGAATGTTTCCTCCACGGACGCACATGTGGGAGCGCTGCCACACTAGGGGTAGGGAGGGAGGAGGGGGGGGGGGGCGGGCAGGCGACACCCGGGCATCTGTCCCACTACGGGGTCCAGATGCCACAGCCCCACTCTCGGTTAGACGCAAAGCACAAAGGTGCTCAGTTAGAGTCACTCCGCTCTCGCCACCGGAGCGCAGGTCCCGTGGCGACAGGATGGACTAACCTGTAGAACGGCGCTCCCGTGCTGTCCTTGTACCAGAGCATCAGCCTCATGACGTCACGTGATGCATCCGGCTCCACGTGGCAGGGCAGCTCGGCCACTCCGCCTGTCACAGCCGTGACGGGCGTCACCTGACCTGCCAGAGCGGGGCGGGGGCGGTCAGAGATCACGTGGCCAGTCGGGGCGGGACGGGGGCCGTCAGAGATCACCTGACCCATCGGCTCGGGGCGGGAGCTGTCAAAGGTCGCGTGGCCTGTCGAGTTGGGGTGGGGGCATCGGAGGTCGATTGACCTACCGAAGCGAGGTGGGGGCAGTAAGAGGTCCCCTGAGCTGCCGGAGCGGGGCGAGGGCAGTCAGAAGTATCCGACTTGTCGGGGCGGGCGGGGGTTGTCAACGGTCTCCCAGCCTGTCGGAGTGGGGCGGAGTAGTCAAAAGTTCCCTGACCTTCCGGAGAATGGCGGCATCAGTCAGAGGTCATTCAACCTGTCAGATCGGGACGGTGCCAGTCAGAGGTCAATTGATCTGCCAGAGCGGGGCACGGTTGATTGAGGGTCACCTGACCTGCCACAGTGGGAAAGGATCGGTTACCTCACCGCATGTGAGAGCACCTCATCTACTGAAGGGGTGTCCGGCACTCGCCATTTTGTGTTTCTCTTCTTCAACAGCGCTCGTGCTCCGCAAAGCAAATGCCGCTTCGCTACACGAGAGCCCTATAATAGTCTGGGGTATCGCGCGGGGTATGCTAAAATGGTCTTTGATATTGCCTGGGGTATGCTAAAATGGTCCGTGGTATCGCATCGGGGCATGCCAAAATGGTCTGTGGTATCGCACGGGGTATGCTAAATTGGTATTTGGTAGTGGCCCGGGGTATGCTAAAATGATCTGTGGTATCGCCCGGGAAAGCTGAAATGGCCTGTGATATCGCGCGGGGTATGCCAAAATGGTCTGTGGTATCGCGCAGGGGTATGCTAAAATGGTCTTTGGTATTGCCCGGGAGTATGCTAAAATGGTCTGTGTTATCGCATCGGGGTATGTCAAATGGTCTGTGGTATCGCGTGGGGTATGCTAAAACGGTCTTTGGTATTGCTCGGGGTATGCTAAAATGATCTGTGATATTTGCCCGGGTAAGCTGAAATGACCTGTTGGTATCGCGCGGGGTATACTGCAATGGTTCTGCGGTTTATCGCTCGGGGATATGCCAAAAATTATCTGTGGTATCGCCCGGGTTATGCTAAAATGGTCTGTGGTATCGCCCGGGTCTGCTGAAATGGCCTGTGGTATCGCCCGGGTATGCTAAAATGGTCTGTGGTATCGCCCTCAGGTATGCTAACGGGAAGCCCGGTCGAGCGGAGCTGATGCAGAAGCGTGGTTGCGGCCAGCGCAGTAGCTATTCGCCCAGTCTACCTCTGGGTCAGCATTGCGTGGCGCGAATCATGTTGAGATCGGCAATGTGTTCATAGTTTCAGCTTCGTCAGCATATACACATACAACCATTTTTCGAGTTATCGGAGCAGCCACACTATAAGTAGACACCAAATACGATTTACATAGTTTGTCCCAACTCAACGACCACTTCAATCTCTCTCAATGCCCATTTATATGTGGCTGAGGAAAGATAAGTCATTGTTTGCATATTTGAGGGGACTGTAAATCTACGGCTCGCTGCGGAGCACGATGTGTGATTCCTTATGACAGTAAATTACGTCGAGAATGGGCTTGCTTGACCTTGCAAACCTCGCGCTCTGAGTGGGGAAATACTCAGAGGGTGTGCTGCAGAGGGCGTATTAGAGGCATGGGTAGGGTAGGGTGCAGCGGTTGAGCTGAGCGTCTGGGAAACGTGGTTCGATTATCCGCGGTGCCTGCCTCTCATATTAGGGTGATAGGCAGGCGACGCCATATGGCCTCAGCAGCTCAGTGCGTCTTGAATCCCTAATGTCCGTCAGTGCCGTCATGACTTAAGGTGTGCTTTTGACTGGGTTCACACAGCTGTACCCAAACTGGCAACGGTCAAAATCAGCATGAATTGATGACATTTAAAAGTGATTCAGTGATAATATGTCACGAGGTTTTTCCTTTGCTAGCTTTTAAATGACAGTCTAATTTGGAATGTTGAATTTTAGAGGATCCGGTCACGTCACGTGACAATGCGGCGGCTGCACTCGTCCAAATTTGGATTAACAAGAGCTGCGCTTGACAGCGGACAGTAGGAATCGAACTTTGGAAATGGCGCAGGAGAAGCATGTAATGGTATGCTCCGTTAGCTGACCCACTCCAGTCCTGGCCCAGACATTTTGCATGATGCAGTTTCGACAAGGAAACGATGCAACCTTGCAGTTGTTTTTGTCTGCAATAATGAAGCATGTTTTGAACTGTCCTTCTTGTCCAGTGACCAGGGGGTGAAAAAAGCTTTTGATTTACTGGATATTAGTGGGTGAAAAAGACAGAGGCTTTGCGAGCCAGCTGGTGACAAAATTTTGAAAGCAATGACAAATTCCAACGGACAAGAACATATTATAACGGAAAATCCCAGCTAGATGAACTCAAAACTTAATATGGCTTGTACTCGTTAGCGCTCGCAGCTTAGCATGTGTGGAGCGCATGTCAAAACGCTGACGTTTCGCTATATGAGTAAGTTGAGCCATACAGTGCTGCCAAACATAGCAGCTTTAGTCAAAATAGTTGTCAGCAGGTGACAGATATACTACAAATTATACCATATCAGAGCTATTTTACAGATCACTGGTGGCACAGTGCTTTTCCAATACCCCTCAGATCAGTGCTTTCAGATCAGAGGTAAAAAGGGGACATTGGAGCGACACATCTCAAGAATTTATCTGGGGATTCCTGCTGCTGAGAGGAACACTCGGTGCACCTCAGAATTAGCGTACTGATCGGTGAACACACGTGAGATAAAACACTTTTAATTGTCATCATGTTGCATATAAAGCTAGATAAGGGTGTCAAGGGTGTTTCAAAATGTTGCTTGCATCTGATGATACCAATATTACATGGTGTTTGCTCCAAATGGTTAGGATCATGTTGGGAAGGGCGAGTTCTGCACCGGTAATAATTGTGCAAATAAAGCAAAGATCGCCCACGTTTCCAGCTGATTGTACGATGACGTCACAAAGCCAAGTGATATGGTCTCCGGGTGCTTTTAGAACCATTTTATCGGTAAATAGAGGGCTACGGAGACGCAGCTTTACAAAATACGTTGGGGTGAGGGAAGGAGGGAAGAAGGTGCTGAAGAACAAATGACTGAGCCTACCCCTAACATGCACTTTAATACAGTTTTCTCCTCAGATCTGACGCGATTTCTTTTTGCAGCTGGGAGCAGTGACGTAGGTAGTTTACCAACATCAGTTTCTTCTTTTTTTGGGGGGTGGCTGAACCAAAAACATATAAATAATGAAACATAATGGATAAAAATGATGCCTAAAGTAGGAATCTTCATCACTGGTTTGAAGGCACAATCCCCCCTTCCCTTACCTGAAATTAAAACATATAGCATGTAGACTGTTTATGTTAAACGGGGTGTGCCTTTTCGAGAGAGGATTCTTGACTGTGCACGTCGGGTGGTAGAGGGTTTCGATTTGCAAATTTCGGTGTCATTAGTTTTTAAAAACTTGCCTCCACTGACGATATATTGCCACAGCTCCCAACTTTCTTTGGTTTGTATGGAAGAGCAAAGTCATTGGGTGGCCCCCAAGCAATATTCACTACTAAAGACGTTGAAATTATTGAGAAGCTATTGTTAGCTCTACTCAATGGCTTCTCGAGGATGTCGATTGTCAGCGCTGACAGTAGCTTGCGAACGCGGCGATGGCGGCGGTCATTATGTCGCTTTTTGGTTACATTCAGCTGAGGGCTGCGAGTGTACAGGTTTACGCTTTTGGTAATGCTGGTCAGTTAATACACAACAATTCATGTCGGCCTACTATATACTGAGATGAGGAACAAGAACTGTGTCGTGTCAATCGGCTGCACCAGGTTTCGGGGAAATGTGACTGCTTTACGTTACCTAGCAACTAAAATAATGTCTACGTTGCCTAGCAACCAAAATAATGGCCATATCTCCAGCACACCGTTACTCGCCACAATAAGCCAATGCATTCTCCCTTTCTTGCTCGCCGATGGCTTATTTTTAAAATTGTTTTTGATCCTGCACAGTCATCGATGGGATCAATAAGAATAAATAAATCAAAACTGATGCAAGACCCAATTGCACTTTCAGCAACCAAAATTAGCCAGAGATAATTGTCAAACTTGCCTTAAGCGTGTATTGAAAAAACCGAAAACATTAGACGCACTCATTTCAACTGTGCCTTCATCTGATGACTTTGTTACTTTAGTCTCAACCATCAATTAGTGTTTGGTGACCAGCAAATGATGCATGAATGCAGTTGAGCTCCCGAGACGAAAACTCTTGGTAGCTAAGCTACGGTTTAGTTAATTTGTCGTGTTTTGTGGTTTGTCGCAATTAGAGTTGTGTTGCAATGGCTTCTGAAAGATTTGGCCGCAGGTGACAGTTTAGACGGTTCCAACTTTCGTCGGTGACAGAAAATATACTTTCTTCCCCCTGTCGGTGCCTAGCTCTCCCTGCCAAAGGAAGAGGAGGTAGGTGACGTCACAGAGCCTCAGGAGGTGAGTGCGTCGTAAAGTCTCAAAGATAAGGAAAACTGTTTTGAGCCAGCCGAGCGAGGGCAAGACATTTCACAGTCCCTGGTAAAGAGCAGAAAGATACAGCGAAACGTCCATAAGTAATCTTTAAAGTAGGCATCTCATTTTGCTTCTTCCCTGCCGCCAATAGCTAGAAAATCAACGTCCATCTAAGTATCGGTTGTCAGTTATGTTTTTTTTTCATTCAAAGACATCCTTGACGCCCATAGACTTTGAAAGAGAACTTAACAGATGGGATCCCCATTAGACAGCACTTCAGAATATGCCGGAACATGTTCTACCGCACATGTTAATAACTTTTACACGGCTGGCGGCTAGCGTTTGTATTGTATATTACAACATAATCATTAATATCACATCACGTTATGCATCTCTCCATTTCAAAGGGCCAGTCTCAGCTCCCTTTAAGTCAGGATTCAGTCCCATTTGGGCTGGTGTTTTCCTGAATTTTTGTCG